GAAAATTAGGTTCAGCATATAATTTTAAGCCAAGTATTTATCAACAGATGTTTAATGAAAGCAGCCCAACAGATATTTGTAGGCTGGAAGATCAAAGCTATAGTTGAGAATAAGCTCACACATTTTGTTATACGAGCATATTTGGTTTTAAATTGGGTTAAAGTGACTGCCAATGGAAAATCTTCTTAGACGGTTTGTACAACTGGCAGAAATGTACTAAAGCACAGATAAGGACTCCATTGTGCCGCAGAGCTTCCTCAATGATAGAACACCCAAGTGCAGTCAAAAACTCTCCAGTTGATTTGATGAATTTCAGGTCTGTTGCACTAAGCCTTCGGAATGCATTTGAGTCTAATTATATCATCTACATATGCCAAATTAATATTTAGCAGTCCTTTTCACATTTGGCACACAGAAACTGCCTAAAGCCACTTAAATGTCTTTTTACGATTAAATTTTTGGAAGTATTGGATTTCATCAATATTTGTGGATTTATCAAGTTGTAAGGTGATATATCATTGACAAAAACACATTGTCCCTGTGGATGTACCAGACAAATGTTTCGAATGCATAAAGTCGTAACCGTCCATAGCTCTCTGGTATACTGATGAGAAAGCATTTCCAAAGGATTTAAATCACGTGCTGAAGGTCCTATACCTCATAGAGAAAATTGAGATGTCAACTTTCAAAATGTATCTTCCATTCATAATTTTCTCTGGCTGAGTGCAAACACACTCACATACGTGCCCTATTATCTAGCCAGCATAATTACAGAAACTGAAAAAGGTAATGGTAACCTCAGACTTTAACAATACCCAACCCCAATGTTGTGTTCAACATAACACAAATTTTTAGTGTAATATCGTGTTTGGAAAACTATTATAGTACATTGTTTTTGTTTAAATTCAAATAAAAACTATTTTCTTGGCCAGATTTACAGTATCAGGAGAATCCATGGGTGGGGAGCTTACAGGCCACACAGGTGAATCTACTATTATTACTTAGTTAAATGAACGTAATATCAAACTGTCCTCTAAATTCATATCTTTATACCCACAGATTAATGCAGGCCTCAGACTTTATCAGAGAAGATTCTTTATGCAACAGACAGCTGTTAACACACAAACTGCTCAAAGTGCAGAGAAAAAGTATCTATGAAATTCTCAGCCACAAATGGGATGTCTATATCACATCTCCTTACCCAAAGGTTCAAAGAGGTCAACAGAAGACAGTATAGAAAGATTGTAAGAGGCAGAGTCTGAGGACGACAGGAGTGAAACACTGTCTTCTGGGCATGACAGGACCACTGTACGCATGAACTCACAGCAGCTGTGGCAGCCTGCACCAGACCTACAGCAGATCAGACCAATCAGCATTCCAGCATGGAGGGGAAGGGGCTCATGAGCCCACACCACCCCCCTTAACTGAAGAACTATTGATAGTTGATCATTCCTGGGGGGGGAGATTCTATTTTCTTTAAGAGTATGGCCCTAGTAGTTCAGCTATGCTCCAGTGGCTGAGCCCACACCCATGAGCATGTACGCAGCACAGATTAGACTCAACGGATTATTAATTTTTTTAAAAAAAAAGAGACACTAACTTGGGAAGATATGGGGATGGGGTTAATACGCAAAGAGTTGGGTCTAGGAGTGGGGGTGAATATGAGCAAAATACATTGTATGCATGTATGAAATTCTCAAAGAATTCATGAAATACAAATTTAAAAACCACAATCCTTTCTTCATATCATAGTGAAATCCTTCAAGAATGTTTAAAAGGCAGCTAGGAATATAACTCCATTGCTAGAGTGAAGCTTTGAGTTCAATCCTCAGTACCTCACAGATTGGCCATGGCAGTACACGTCTGTCATCCTAACACTGCAGAGGTGATGGCTGAAGGATCAGAAGTCCAAGGTCATCCTCAGCTACACAGCAAGTTTGAAGTCAGCCTGGGCTACATGAAGCCCTCTTTCAAAAATAAAACTTAAAGTAAACTATAATGACTCCACACTAAAAGTTCTATGACTTAAAATTTTCAAAAAAGCAGCAGGATATGTACAAAAAATCCATTTTTTGTTATATTTTATATGTTTATATACAAAAATCCATTTTTGTTATATTCTAATAGTTAATTATCTGAAACAGAAATCAAGAAAGGAATTCCATTTACTATTTGTAACAATGGTTACAAAAACATATCTAGGAATGAATTTAACCAAAGAAGTAAAATAACTCTATAATAAGAGCTGTAAGAATAAGGAAAGAAGGAAGAGCTCACAGGAAAAGGGGGACAGATATTCTATGATCCTGGATTACAAGAATCAGTGCTGTTACAAGTTCCATACTGCCCAGAACAATCTACAAACTCAATAAAATCTTCATCAAAATATGAATACTATTCTTCACAAAACTAGAAAAAAAAAGCATTCCTAAAATTTGTATAGAATCACTAAAAACCCTGACTAGCTAAATCCAACTTGAACAAACAAGCAGTCAGCATTACACTACTGATTTTTCTGGGTGTATTGCCTGGTTTTTAATTTGGTTTTCTATTTTATCAATTAAGTTTTTTTTAAGTTGTGCATTATGAATGTCAAATCCTTGTGAAACACTTCACAACAGTTTAGTAATTCAAACAGTGTGGCATTGATACAAATGCAAACTCAGTGACCAACTGAATATAGCTACACATCCATCGTTAATTAGTTTTTGACAAAAACATTAAAGACACTGGGGAAAGGGTCATCATTCGGACATTCACATGCAAAGGAATGGAATTAGGCTTCAGTCTCTCACATACAAGAATCAACTTCAAACTGGATGAAGGATAGATAGAAAGACAGATGGACTCCAAAACTATGAAACTACTAGAAGCAAATGTATGGATGGGGTGTGGTTTCAGAGGTGTCTGACCTGCTGACATCATCACATGACATTGTCATTGCCAAAGCTAACTGATGGAGAACTGAGTGATCAAAATTTTTTAAACTCAAAAAGTCAATGATAAAGTCGTTTTATAATTTTGTTTTGGGCTGCATCAATAGCTATCCTAGGATGTGTATGTCCCATGAGCTATTAGTTGGAACATACCTCCCAGGACTCTGGAATCAACAGTGATTATTTTTTTAGACAAAATCACAAAAACATAGGAGCAAAATCAAAACAGAAAAATGGGATTATCATCAAGCAAAAATCTCTTGAACCACAAATAAAACAATCCCTTTCAAGAGTCTGACTACAGGAGAGAATTTACAAAGTATATATTCCACAAAGATTGGTAGCCATAACATATAAAATATGTCAAGCAATAACAAAGAGTCAACCTTTTAAAAAAGGCATTATACACAGATATTTCTTAAGACACCAAAAATAGCCAACAAGCATAGTAATATATGACTAATCATCAGGGAAATGCATGTTGAAATCACAATAATAAATTGCAGCAAAACTGGTTATTACACAAATACACACACACAGAGTATAGATAACAAGTGCTATTGAGGATGAGGATGAAAGGGAGTCCATGCATACTGACATTGGGTACTTTAAGTCATCATGAAAAACAGTATAGAGGTTCCTCAGAAACATTAAAATACATCTATTTATGAGCCAGCCTTCAATGAGTAGATACATATTAAAGGAAATGAAATCTGTGTGATGTCTGCATTCTCAGGTTCACTGAGGTGCTATGAACAAAACCAAGAAATGGAAAATATAGATGTGCCCGACAAACACTACACGATGCCACTTGGGAAAAACCTAAGAGAGTTGATCTAACTGAAGGGGAGAGTAGAATAGTGAATGCTAGAGGGTGAGAGCAGGAAGGGAAGGGGAAGGGAGAGAGGGATGAGGCTGGAAAGTGAATAATAAGCTATAGTTATATACGCATTACAAGTTTTGATATGAGATTGTAAAGTGATTACAGAAACTGCTGGTGGAATGCGTTATTCGCTGATGTGAGAAGACCGTGGAAAAAAGTATTTTCTTAGAGAAAAATTAACGACTCTGTTTTGCACTTCTTAATTCAAAGAAGACAACTCGATATCCAAACAGACATGTTAATAGCTGGAGTTGAAAGTTTGGGAGTGAATTTCAGGGTAAATATGTAAATTTGGGAATCATAAATACAGACACAGACTTCAGAGTCAAAGCGTGAATGAAACTTATCAAAGAGCCAAAACAGAAAAGAAAATAGGACCAAGGACTGAACCTTTCATTAAGATGTCAAAAATAATGAAAGCCATATTTTAATACCACCCGTGTCAGGTGCTGTTCCTCAGGCTCTATACACTGTGTTTTTTTGAGGCACACTCTCTCACTGACCTGGATCTAGGCTTGTTTTGTCAGCATGCCCTGGGGATCCAGTCGTCAATCTCCTCAGATTGGAATTATAAACCTACACTACCAATTCCAGCTGTTTATATGGGTTCTAGGAATGAAACTCAGATCCTCATGCTTGCAAGGCAAGTTCTTTACCAACTGAGCTGTCTTCACCAGCCTGAATTGCTTTATCTCTTTATTGACTTTGCTGTGTCTAGTCTTGTGGTTGATATATTATGCTTGACTGTCTTCTTCCTCCTCTGCCTCCAGTACCATATTTTGAGCAGTGACTATAGAAAGTTTAACTGGACTTAAAGATCTCTAGTAGGAGTAAACCCGTGGATGGCACTGTAAATATAGCCAAATATACAGGGATGGAGAGGTCATAGATCCTAGAGAAAACCCTCTCTCTGTCATATCTCTAGACAAATGAAATTTCTTACTGTATGCTAAATATGGATTCTTGTATTTACAGATATATATACTGTAATTCACTCATCAAAGAAGCTTCTTCTTGCAACAGATGGAGGCTCTTACAGAGTACCACAATTGGTCACACACACAGAGAAAATATATGTCTGAGAGATTCTCAGCCCTAAGTGACATATCTACAGTACAGCCTCTGCACCTAAGACTCATGGAACATAGCAGAACAGGAGGTAGAGAGAATATCAATATATCCCTCAACTCTCACCAGTAAAGCTTCCTTTTACAACAGAATATGATGCACAAAGAAGCCCACAACGGGCCAAGGTGTCGAGAATAAGAGACTGCAGAGTAGATGTCCCTGGATAGGACTCCTACATTAAACCTCACCCATCCATGACTCAGGTACCACTGCAGAAAAAATCAGAAAGATTCTAAGAGCCAGGGTTGGTTCATGAACATGAGGAAACAGTTTTTCAGGTCACTGGAAACTTGCTCATATGAACTTGCAGCAATGGTGACAGCATGTACAAGACGCATGCAAACTCAATCAGACAAAAAAACCATCATGGAACTGAGGAAGTGAACAGCAGATCCCAACCTTAGCCAAGGAACTATTGGCAACTGACAACTGTGAGATGAGGGAGAGTAGATCTTCATTAAGAGAGTGACTCTAGATAGACTGACTAGACTACAGTGGATGAACTTGTACCGAGGGACTTCTCCTTCATTGGGTCAGCTTTAACATATATGACAGAATGCATGGCATCTGGCTTGGGGGGGCTATATCAGGTGAGGATGAATGAGGGGATTTAAATTCTATTAAGATTTATTATATGAAATGTACAAAACTCAACAAAAATATACATTAAAATAAAAAATACAGAAAGCCAGTAAAGACTGCAGAGAGACAATTAGCAAAATAAAATGAAACCAAGACAATGTGGTGTCTCACAGAAGGCTTTGGGAAGATGGCTACAGATAAGTAGTGTGATAATATATCAAAGAGTCAAAACAAATTAATAAGTGAGACATGGAACAGTGGGTGGATACAAGTGGAGATCCAAGAGTAAATGAAAAGAGCTCAAAAGAGAACAGGAATCCATCATTAGTATTTATGGTTTATAACTAAAAGAAACTAAAGTGAGCCTTTGAAGTCATATCCACATCAACATTACTCAAAAAGACCAAAAGCTGGATACAACCCGAGTATTCATCAATGGATAAATAAGCAGACGGTTTTTACATATGTAGAATGAGGTATTATTCAGCATTAAGAAGGCAGAACTCTCATGCAACTTCGGGGCATTATGCTAAGTAAAATAAGCCAGTTAAAAGGGAACAAACATGCCTGATTCCACTTGCACAAGGTACCTAGAATAATCAAGTTCAAGTTCACAGAGACAAAGTAAAGTGTTTAGGGGATAGATAGGAATGGTGAATTGTTGCTGAATTCGTACAGAATTTCATTTTTAGTAGATGAAGCAGTCTGAGGATGTTTGGGGGTAAGGATCTTCAGAACCCAAATGGACTCAATATCACTGACCAAAACACTTAGGACTAAGACGGTAAATTTTGTATTATGAAACAACCCAGATGTCACTGGACTTGCGGACAAACTCTGCCACACCTGCCCAATGGAAAACTAGAGAGTAATACAAGTTAAGGTGCTACCGATATATTTCACAGCCTGGATTCAATTGAATGTGGAACAAAACAGACCAAAAACACATTCATTCTGTATCATTTCATTACATAAAATTCAGGGATAGGCACCACTAACCCTGTGCTGTTAAAAAAAAAAGAACAGCAGCTGCCTGCCTAGTGGGCACAGGTTGAGAGGCTCATGGGGACACTCTGGCATAAAGGTGGTGTCTGTATCTTGGTAGAGCTATATAAACCTGGAAAAAGGCTTCCATTGTACATCTAAGATCTATACATTTCAAGGCTGCGGAGATGGTTCTGCAGTTAAAAGCGCTTACTGCTTTTCCAGAGGACCCAGGTTTACAACTTTGGTTCCCAGTACCCACATGGTAACTAACAATCATCTGAACTCAATTCCAAGGGATCTAATGCCCTATTGTGGTCTCCATGGGCACTGCATGCATGCGGTGCATTTACCTATACACAGGCAAATATTCATACACATAAATTTAAAATAAATGCAGCTTTTAAAAAAAGATCTGAATATTTCATAGCAAGTTGAACAAAAATATGGAGAATAGAGGTAAATATAGTGTCTAAGAACAGACAATATTTCAGAGAGTTTTGTTATATAATATGGAGTCAAAGGAGACTTGGAAGACTAAATAATTTTTGTTGTAAGCTTTTTGTTTTTAACATAGATGGGGTGTCCTTGTTTCTATGTTATAGGCATGATTGAAAAGATGATCAGATTTTAAATGGTGCCCTTAAACAGGAATGAGAGGGTGGCATTCTGTGAGATGTTGACCTCATCCACTAGCACAAGTCACCCATAGCAACAGTAATGAGAAAGAACAGTGATACCACTGAAGCAGACTTAGCCCCAAGAGCTGCGTTTAAGGCCCTGTAAAATTCTATCCCACTTGCATTATAACATACGTACAAGGAGGGCAGCTTGGTTTTCACACTGTCCACAGAGTTTCCTTTTCATCTTGGACTTCTCACTTCCAAAAGCACTTGCCATTTTATAATTAAGTGGTGGTTTTGCTGGCTCTGGAAGAAAAAGATGTCAGGACAATCACTTTGAAGTATGATATCTAGTTTCTTGATTAACGATGTAATATAACTACGAGCATTTCCAAATTCTGACGCAGTCCTTCAGCATTAGCAGCATAAGAATTAGATCTGTCAAGTCTGAACCATCAGCTCATTGCAGAGCCTGTAACAGTCCCTGCCAGCCCCCACTGGCAGGGGCGGCAATATTCACCTTTCTATTCTGCTTGAAACCCCTTGACCTGAATATTCACAGTTACAGAACAGAGAGAACTTTGCTTTTGGCAGAATTCCTATGCCAGTTTCCGATCCCTGGATACAAATGAAGAGCACATAGAACAAATTCTAAACATACAGTATTCTATATTCATAACAAGTATGCAAGTAGTAGCCTGTCTTACGGTTGCATCAAAATACCTGACTAAAGCAATTGAAGGAAAGAAACAGGGGTTTTGGCTTCCAGGCCCAGGGATACAGCCCACATGGCAGCGGTCATGGTGGCAGGGGCAGGTGGCAGCTAGTCCCCTGTGTCCACAGTCAGAAGTCAGAGGGAGATGAATACTGCTGTTCAGTTCCCTGTCTCCTTGGTCTTAGTCCAGGATTCCAGCCCATAGAATGGGGCCATCCACATTTAGGCTGGTTCTTCCCAAATCAACATAATCTAGGCAATCCCTCAGAAATTTGTTTCCATGATGATTCTAAATCTCATCAGGTTCACAGTAAAGACTAGCTCACAATATATTCACATAAATATTATAGGTATATATTTCTGGAACTTATTTATCAAATTATGTTAATATTTAAAATAAATTTGTTTAACGTCAATAAAAATATGTTTTCCTTTGTGATAACTGCAAATTCTGGTTTTATCAGGGTGTTTTTTAGTTTGAAATTAATTTATATTAAATGTAGAGCAATTTTTCAAAAGTCAGATTACTAGAGTAATATCTTAATTTACATATTATACTGCTAAATTCTCTTCCTAATGTAAAGATTATATCGAAAAAGTTTAAGAGTATTCTTTCCTTTGGAAAATAGGTGTTACCATAATGATATTCCACATTTCCATTTTGACATAAAATAAGCCTCCCACCAAAAACTGAATAAAACTTATTTTGAAGATCAAACTGTCATCATTCGCTGGTTTAGAAGTTTTATTTTGCATGAACAATATGTAGCATTTATATATAATGTGTGTGAATAAAAGAGAACTCCATCTTTAGAGTCTAATGGGGCAGGAAGCTGCTTACCTTGAATCTGTTCCTTCAGTAACTTTAATTTCAAATTTCCAGCAGAAAACTATATTAATAAATAGATACTATTTTAGGTACATATTCTCTTATTCAAAGAAAATTTAACTAACATGTTAACAAAATGTTAAAAGCTGTTCTATTTGGGTCCATCTCACATAAACATATATATATATAAACAAAGAATTGTATAAAATTAAGAGACCATCACTAAAACAATATAAGCTTTAAATTAAAAACAAACTATGAATATTATGAATAACAACCATTTTTGGTTTTGCTGTTGTTGAGACAGGGTCTTACTACGTAGCCCAGCCTGGTCTCTAACTCATGATCCTCCTGCCAATCTTCCATGAGCAACCACACCCATCATATAAACTGATTTTTACAAGACATGCCAAGAATTATACTTTTTTATTATACAGGGCTACATAGGCCATTTTTATGAAAGTAATAATATACTTTGAACATAGCAAAAACTACTATATGTCACCATGAGATAATTTTTAAGAAAATGTAAGCCTCAATTGCTGTGAAATTTCAGTAATTCTCCTCTGTTTTTCCTTCTGAAACACACAGTCTAGTATCTGCGCAGCCTGAATCAAAGTTGAATTCTGACTGAACTACTCTGCTAACATAACTGCAGAAGCTAATGGCATTATCTTATTTGTACAGTTTGGAGAACGACATATCTCAGCATCATAGTCTTAATCTTCATGTGTATTACTGATGATCCCTGGTGCTTCTATATGTAGTCAAAAAAAAATACTTGAGTAATAAAATTCACTACTGAGCATTTCGATATAAACAACCCTAGAAGCCCTTGGATCTTAATATTGTAGGCAGCAAGAAGGACCTGCCAACTAAATGCATTCGCCTGGGTCTTATTAAAACCAGAATTTAAAGTACACAACTGAGCACAGAGGATGGTGTGCATTTACATAGACACTGTCAATTCGTGCCCAGTTTTCAATTTGCAATTTGCATGCTCAATTGCCCAATTTGTACATGAGGCTATGTGAACAATGGCTGCCTCTGTATCTCTGGCTGTACCAACCACAGTCATTTTGAAAATTTAGGCCTAATTATTCTCTTCTGTTTTGCTTCAAAGAGGCACTCATTGTTTCATATTCTTTGAAGTAGCTTCTCAGATGTTTTCTGTACCAAACACAGCAGAAAGAAAATAGAATTGAAATAATCAACCTCTATATGAATCACACTTTTATTTTTAAGTCAGTAATGTTATACGAGTTACACATAATTTAATCTCTTTTTTCATAACCAAATTATCCAATTTGATTACCTTAATGACACATCTGGATTGCAACAAGGCCAGCCTGGCCATGATCTACTTACAATGAAGAGATACGCCAGGAAAATGTAACAGTGACAGGGGGGTTTTATAATTCCTTTTCATTACTATGAGTAATATTTTCAGCTCTATAAATTTATTCATATTCACTTCAAATTATTTAAATTGCACAAAAAATATTTCACTGATCAAGTTCCAGCAGCTATTTTTAGACAAATTTAATTTTCTCATTTTCTAATTTTTGTGTTTGAAAAATAATTGGGTGGTGAAGTGGGGTTAGAACGAGGACACAAAGAGCACACATAAATTTGTGCTTGCATCTGAAACATCTAAATTTAATAAACCAAAGCCACTGCCCTATTGATCCACCCAGAAGGACTGGACAAGAACTTCCCAGGGGAAGGGTAGCGATGTGGACCACTCCATGATTGGTGGCCTCCCAGGCATCGCAAATACCTACATTCATCAGTGACTTCATCTGCCCAGAACACTCCCAGAAAGCCACCTTTCAACTGTTTCCATGCTCACTTGCCCACTGAAATTTTTCCATGTTTACCTGTCTCTCCAGGCTCCTCACTGGTAGATAAAACCCAGTTTAAGCTCATTTAACTATTTCATAGTTTATATCTTTCCTAAAACTGTTTCACTTTAAAGTTCTCACTAACTGAAGTGTACCTTTTCTTAGTCACAGTTCTCTAAAAACAATATCCAGAAAAAATGGTTCTTTCCTGAGGTTTTCTGCAGGCTGGTTTCAGTATCAGCTGAAGATGACCTTGAAATTCCAATTCTCTTCCTCCATCTCTCAAGTTGTGGGATTACAGGCAGGTACCACCATATCCAGTTTTATGTGGTACTAGGGATCAAACCCAAAACTCCCTGCATGCTAGGCAAGCACTCCACTGACAGCTACATTGCCATCCCAACTAGCCAGTTTTTCATTCCCAAATCAACCCGTCACCCCCTTTTCTCCTGGGTTCTGCCACTATCACTGGACAAAGTCACCTCTACGGAAGATCCCCACAGTCCACTTAGTGTCTTTATCAATGTCCACGATGCCTTTCCACCTGAACATCAGCAATCTGCTCATTATTTCTCTTCATGACATTCCTAGTTGATAGCACTACATACCTCCATGCGCATGTACCTGACACTCTGGCTGAAGACTCTCCAACATGATAGCAGCTCTGAACATCTAAAGGCTTCTTAGCTGCTCCCCCATTATGATCAAACCTTGTATCTAGGCAACATTCTAAATGGTCACAACTTCAAAATCCCAAACTCTTCGTGGTGATCATGATCACTTTATCTTTTCCCTCTCAGCTCACCCATTCTACCCACAATTATGATGAAATAATGCCCCGGGTTTTCCTATAAACACATGGTTAATAACCTCCATGGACACTTAGGAATTCTCAACAGTCTATTCACCCATTTATTGCTAAACCTCAGTCCTTCCATTGTGTTGAGAATATTGACATTCTGTTTCAGTTTTTCATGGTACTTTATTGTACCACCTGCCAAACCCAATCTCAAATGGTTTTATTTATTTTCACCCGCTTCTTTCTTTGATTTTTCTTGGCAGAGGAAATGTATTCTTACTTCCCTAGAGGAGGTTTCTTTAGTAAGCCACCTTCTTAAAATCACGGCCCCAGCCACTTGGCACCTCTGTCGTCTACATCTCCAGTCTCTACTTGCATCCTAATTTCTCATCAGATAAACTGGCTAATTTTATTTCACCAACCCCCAAATGCTATAGCCTAATCTTGACCATATTGAACCTTTAAAATGTGTTTTTGTTCTTAGGTTCTTTGCATAGTTTTAGTTCATTATCTCCTTTTCTTTTCAATTACTTGAACTATATTTTTTGCATCTAATGAGTCAGTCCTTAAACTCTATTCTTTCAATGTTCTCATTTTCTATAAATAGATTTCAAAACATAATTTTCAGGTAACAATTCAAAGTGGTTTCATATATATCATCTCACACATCATTCAAAACACTGTGAAGCAATTACATAGGTCTTACAAATGTGTAGCAGAGATCATACAGATAACTGAGTCAGAATTTTAATCTGATTATAAAGGACAATGAGGGGCTTCTCAATTTCAATACCGCTGATGCTAGGAGCTGTCTGGTCATTGAACTATGTTCATCCACAACCTTGACCCTAACACACTACATATATTCACAAATAAAACCCCCAAACAAAACAAACAAACAGAAAGCTTCTCTTGGTGATAACAAGTGAAAAAGTCTTCAGATATTGCCAAGTATCTCCTGGAAAGCAATTTGCTGCCCCGAAGAACATTTCTCTAAATCTGAGTTTTTTTCATGAAACAATATATTGGACAATATTGGCATGTCCATCGTTTCTAAATATGTAACTATGCCCTCCTTTGCTTTATTCTTCTGTGGGATTGTGTGACTGGCTCCACTCCTGTCCTACTTTTTGTGCTCACTGTCTTCAGAGGAAAGCTTGCAGATTAGTTTTGAGCAAGCCTAAGAACCTGCAACCAACATCATGGTCCTGAAGCTTGATAAAGAGCAGGATATTTTACTTCTCCAACAGGAAATAACTTTATCTGTGAAGCCATAGTTATAAACTGTCTCTTACAAGAGATATAAGTGCTTATTGTGATAAAAAAATCAAAAGCTGCTCAATTACAGACTTATGCTTATATGTTTTGATTTATATATGTATATATATATATTATTTATTATTTTTATTTTATGTGTATGAGTGTTATGCCTGCATGTAGGTAAGTGCACCCATGTCGTGCAATGCCCATGGAGGACAGAAGAGGCTGTTGGATCCCCTGGAACTGGAGTTATGGACAGTTGTTAGCTGCCATGTGGGTTTTGGGATTTGAACCCAAGTCTTCTGCAAGAACAGTCAGTGCTGTTAACCTCTGAGCCATCTCTCCAGCCCCATTATCTCTTAATTTCCACAGTGGATTTTATAATGTACATGATGTAAATACCTGTGCATGTAATTAAATAGCAATAAATCTGTGGGAAGTCCTATGCTCAGAGTATATTCATTTCTGGTATGTTGCATGATCAAAGCTTTTTGGAAACTACTTGTTTTTACTCTAATAACAGCAAAGAATCTCGAGGGTTGGACAGGAACAACCATCACAAATATTTCCTTAACCTTCAATCCTACAGGGAAAGATCTGTAAGGATAGGGAGAATCTATTTTATTAAAAGAAGCACATCAAGTACTGGAGAGATGACCCAATGGTTAAGAGCACTGGCTGTTCTTGCAGAAGAACTGGGTTCGAATCCTACCACCCACATGGCGGCTGACAATCATCTGTAACTCCAGTTCCAGGGGATCTGAGACCCTCTTCTGTTCTCTGTGGTCATTGCACAACACAGTTGCACTTACATACATGCAAGCACAACACTCATACACACAAAATTTAAAAAAAAATCACTTAAGAAAACAAAACACATCAAGATTCCCAGATCTAGGATCAGAAGCCTTCTTCCTAGTTCCCAAGCCCTCATTGTACAGTGGACACCCCCTCAAACCGTCTACCTTCACCTCCTTAATTATGATGTTTGTGATAACAATAAGTTTGGTTTCTTCTTTTTTTTCTTACAAATATACTT